CTAGGCCCGAAACGTCAGCCTCTCTGCTCCTGTGATGCTGCTTGGCCTGCTGTGTTCATCCAGCCCTGCACCTTGTTGTCTCGGATTCTCCAGCATCTGCAGTTCCTACTATCCAGACATTCACAACCTGCTGGGAGAAGAAATTCCTTTGAACCTCCCTTTTAAGTGAGTGTCCCCTTATTTTGTAACCATGTCCTCCAGTTGAGAAACTAGTGGAAAAACCTTTTCAACATCTACCCTGTCAAGCCCACTCAGAATCTTATATGTTTCGATAAGATCACACTTCATTCTCCTAAGCAGTAGCGAATAAAGGCCTAATCTTTTTAGCCGTTCTTAATGAAGCAATTCTTCACCTCTGGAATGAGCCTAGTCAATCTGTTTTGAACTGCCAATGCCAGTATATTTTTTTTAAATATGGAGATCAAATCTACACATACTTCAGCTGTGGCCTCACCAACACCAATATACAGTTGTACCAAGACTTCCCTGTTCTTAAACTCCAACTCCCAGTAATAAATACTTTTTAAAAAAAAAAAAAGAAAAAAATTCAAACTGAATTTTCCCAAGATTGCTTCAAAAAGATGTATTGCCCTTTACTCCCCTTCTCATTGCATTTTCCCTACATGCATCATGGGATGTGAACACTATTAAGTCTTTAGTTCGCAAGCTCATTGTTTGAAAGAACCTTTTAAATGACCCAACTGGTCTGTTTACTGACTGACCAAGAATGATTTGTGACAGAGAATCAGTTTAAAAAAAACTAGGTATTGCTGGAAGCACGTTCACAATTCCGAAATTCTACCTCTTTGATCTGTGCGAGTGCATAATGCAATTTCTGCTTTTGCTTTATACAACTATCCATTAGGATGGCTTCTCTAAAGCACTTGTTTCTTCTTTTGTTAGAAAAACTGCGACAACTTCTTCACCCAGAGTATAAAAATCTTGTCGTTTCAAAGATATGCAGTGGCCAAAATGAAACAATTGATCTGTGCAAGACAAATGGCTTTCCTTATGGCGGTGATGTTGATTCTTGTTCTACCTTCAGATCCTGTAACCACATATGCAATCAGTCAAGCTGTCAAGTTATATCCAAGTTTGGTCGGCACTACTTCATCAGTGCCAGTACTGATGTGAAAGACTACAGCATGTTCTACATTGGGCAGGAGAGCCCGACGCTAACTAACTTTATGATGACATGGAATCAATGTTCGTTTTGCTCATTTGATCCAGTGAAAGGGGTCGGGAGACAAGAAACTCTGAACGTTAACAGGGCATTGATGAAGCGATACTACATGATTGAACGAGCCAAGGATGCTCAAGTTGTAGGAATTTTAGTGGGGACTCTTGGTGTTGCTGACTATCTTTCTACCATAGACCATCTTAAATCAATTATCAAGAAGGCTGGAAAGAAAAGCTACACCTTTGTAATGGGTAAACTGAATGCTGCCAAGCTGGCTAATTTCATGGAAGTTGATATATACGTGCTTGTAGCCTGTCCAGAAAATTCTTTGCTGGATTCCAGTGAATTTTACAGGCCCGTTATAACACCATATGAGATGGAGGTTGCATGCAATCAAGCAAGGGAATGGACTGGAGAGTACATTACTGACTTCAGGGACCTACTTCCAGGTGCGTAAATCTACATGTCATCGTGGATCAATGTGCCCTTAAATTAAGTCGCTATAAAATTTGAACCTGTAAGTGTATATTTAAACAGAGGTAGCTGTGATGTTATCCTGTTTTTTTTTCCCCACTTTACTTCCAGCAATCCTGTTGCCACTGTGAATAATGTATCTTTGTCATGTCGACCATCAATTTCTAGGTGGCAGGGCTGAGAGAATTGCAGCAGGGTACATCTGCTTACCTGCAGCCTGAAACATTTCATTGGTACGGCAATAGGCTCAGGAAATTGGTTATTGAATTTAATATTTTATGCTTGAGGGAAGTCAGCAATGTTGGGGGAATAAAACACTTCGGACAACAATACATGTGTGAATTACATATTAGTCTAACAGATAAAGTCAACATACTACCAGACCGTAGGGCTTCTTTCTTATGAGAGAGAGGGGACTGGTGGTAGTGGTTTAACCAGAGGGTCACCACACCTCTTGCAATGTGAGAGGTGAGAAGAAAAGGCATCATGGTAATCTCAGCTGATGCAGGAATTGAGCCCACGCTGTTGGAATTACCCTGCATTGCAAACCAGCCGTCCAGGCAACCTAGCTAGTATCTAACTATCAACATTGTGTGTATGCTAGATTAGTGTTAACTAATGTATTCATCCTTGAAGTCCCAATGAATTTCTTGTTCAACTTCATAGGTGCTTGCAGCCATATTGAATTTCCAGATGAGACCTTCAATAGTGGAGAGACTGATATCTCACTAGTGACTGGAGCCTTGCGAGCAGCACACCTGCCAAAGTCAGAGTGGCAAAACAAAGCATCAAGCACATCATTGATCCACAGGAATGAGGCTTTAGCAATTACCCAGCCACACTCAGCAGGTATAATTCCTAATTTGAGAATTAAATTTTCAAGATTGAATATTGATATCAGGAATTGGAGAGGGGCAAGACCTTTTTTGACTTCTTTCTACGGTCTTGAGGTTCTTTCCATACTCCACAGGACAGCAGGCAGATAAATTGCTCCATTCTGAAGAAGGGTCACTTGAATCGAAGCATTAACTTTGTGGAGAGAAAGCAGATGCTACCAGACCTGAGTTTTTCCAGCAATTTCTGTTTTTGATTGAGATAATTTGCTGTCTTGGCTTTGCTAATGTTGTAACAAATGCGGGGCATGAATGGCCAAAGGCAAATAGACTTGTCCCCTTTTATGGAGAGGCGTCTGACAGTTATTCAACACGGGAAAACCTGCATAACTATGCTGTTCAACAGTCCTATGTCTTACATAGAACTTAGAACAGTACAGGCCCTTCGCCCCACAATGTTGTGCCGACCTATTATCCTACTAAGATCAATCTACCCTGCATACCCTACATTTTACGATCCTCCATGTGCCTGTCTAAGAGTCGCTTAAAAGTCTCTAATGTATCTGACTCCACTACCACTGCCGGTAGCGCATTCCACATGCCCACCACTCTGTGTGAAGAACCTACCTCTGACATAGAACATAGAACAAAGAACATTACAGCGCAGTACAGGTCCTTCGGCCCTCCATGTTGTGCCGACCAGTGAAACCAATCTGAAGCCCATCTAACCTACACTATTCCATTATCATCCATATGTTTATCCAATGACCATTTAAATGCCCTTAAAGTGGGCGAGTCTACTACTGTTGCAGGCAGGGCATTCCACTCCCTTACTACTCTCTGAGTAAAGAACCTACCTCTGACATCTGTCCTACATCTATCACTCCTCAATTTAAAGCAATGTCCCTTCGTGCTAGCCGTCACCATCCGAGGAAAAAGGCTCTCGCTGTCCACCCTATCTAATCCTCTGATCATCTTGTCTGTCTCTATCAAGTCACCTCTTAACCTTCTTCTCTCTAACGAAAACAGCCTCAAGTCCCTCAGCTTTTCCTCATAAGACCTTCCCTCCATACCAGGCAACATCCTGGTAAATCTCCTCTGCACCCTTTCCAATGCTTCCACATCCTTCCTATAATGCGGCAGCCAGAACTGTACGCAATACTCCACGTGCGGCCGCACCAGAGTTTTGTACAGCTGCAACATGGACCTCATGGCTCCGAAACTCAATCCCTCTACTAATAAAACCTAACACACCGTACGCCTTCTTAACAACCCTATCAACCTGGGTGGCAACTTTCAGGGATCGATGCACATGGACACCGAGATCTCTCTGCTCATCCACACTACCAAGAATCTTACCATTAGACCAGTACTCTGTATTCCTGTTACTCCTTCCAAAGTGAATCACCTCACACTTTTCCCGCATTAAACTCCATTTGCCACCTCTCAGCCCAGCTCTGCAGCTTATCTATGTCCCTCTGTAACCTGCAACATCCTTCCGCACTATCCACAACTCCACCGACTTTAGTGTCATCCGCAAATTTACTAACCCATCCTTCTACGCCCTCATCCAGGTCATTCGACATCTCCCCTATACCTTCCTCCAATCACCTTAAAATTATGCTCCCTAGTAATAGTCATTTCCGCCCTGGGAAAAAGTCTCTGACGATCCACTCTATCTACGCTCTCATCATCTTGTACACCTCTATTACGTCACCTCTCATCCTTCTTCGCTCCAATGAAAAAACCCTGACTCTGTCAACCTTTCCTCAAGAATGAGACCTGCCCTCCAGTCCAGGCAGCATCCTGGTAAATCTCCTCTGCACCCTCTCTAAAGCTTCCACATCTTTCCTATAATGAGGTGACCAGAACTGAACACAATATTCCAAGTGTACTCTAACCAGAGTTTTATAGAGCTGCAGCATAACCTTGCGGCCCTTAAACTCAAAACCCCTGCCAATGAAAACCAACACACCATATGCCTTCTTTATAACCCTATCAACTTTGGTAGCAACTTTGAGGGATCTATGGACGTGGACACCAACATCCCTCTGTTCCTCCACACTGCGGAGAATCCTGCCATTAACCCTATATTCTGCATCCAAATTCAACCTTCCAAAATGAATCACTCAACACTTTTCTGGGTTGAATTCCATCTGCCAATTCTTTGCCCAGCTCTGCATCCTGTCAATGTCTCGTTGCAACCTACAACTGCTCTCCACGCTGTCCGCAACTCCTCCATCCTTCGTGTCGTCGGCAAACTTACTAACCCACCCTACCACTTCCTCATCCAAGTCATTTATAAAGATCACAAAGAGCAGAGGTCCCAGAACAGATCCCTGTGGAACACCACTGGTCACTGAGCACCAGTCTGAATATCTTCCGTCTACTACCAACCTCTTTCTTCTATTGTACAACCAGTTTTGTATTTAGACAGCCAAATTTCCCTGAATCCCATGCCTCCTTACTTTCTGAATGAGCCTACTATGTGGAACCTCATCCAATGCCTTGCTGAAATGCATATACACTACATCACATCTTCATCGATGTGTTTTGTCACATCCTCAGAGCATTCAATAAGGCTTGTGAGGCATGACCAGCCCCTCACCAAACAATGCTGACTATTTCTAATCAAACTGTGCTTTTCCAAATAATCATAAATACTATCTCTCAGAATCCTCTCCAATAATTTGCCCACCCCAGAAGTAAGACTGACCGGTCTGTGATTTCCAGGATTATCCCTATTCTCTTTCTTGAACAAGGGAGTAACATTTGCCACCCTCTAATCATCTGGTACTACTCCAGTGGACAGTGAGGACACAAAGATCATCGCCAAAGGGGCAGCAATCTTTTCCCTCGCTTCCCGTAGCAACCTTGGGTGGATCCCGTCTGGCCCAGGGGACTTATCTATCCTCGTTTTTCAAAATTTCTAGCACATCCTCCTTCCTAACGTCAAACTGTTCGAGCATATCAGCCTGTTTCATGCTGTCCTCACAAACTTCAAAGTCCCTGTACACTGGTGAATACTGAAGCAAAGTATTCATTAAGGACCTCCTCTGACTCCGCACACAAGTTCCCTCCACCATCCCTGATTGGCCCTACCCTCACTCTGGCCATCTTCTTGTTCCTCACATAAGTATAGAAAGCATTGGGGTTTTCCTTGATCCTACCCCCTTTCTAGCTCTCCAAAGTCCATTCTTCAGCTCCTTCCTGGCTACCTTGTAGACCTCTTGGAGCCCAGTCCAATCCTTGCTTCCTCAACCTTAAGTAAGCTTCCTTCTTCCTCTTGACTAGGTGTTCCACATGTCTTGTCATCCAAGGTTCCTTCACCTTACCATCCTTTCCTTGCCTCAGTGGGACAAACCTATCCAGTACTTGTAGCAACAGCTCCCTAAACAACCTCCACATTTCTGTCATGCATTTCCCTGAGAACATCTGATCCCAGTTGGTGCTCCATAGTTCTTGCCTAATAGCATTGTAATTCCCCCTCCCCCAATTAAATACCTTCCCATACAGTCTGCTCCTATCGCTCTCCATGACTATAGTAAAGGTCAGGGAGTTGTGATCACTATCACTGAAATGCTCTCCCACCGAGAGATCTGACACCTGGCCTAGTTCGTTGCCAAGCACCAAATCCAATATGACCTCCCCTCTCGTCGGCCTATCTATATATTGAGTCAGAAATCCTGCTTCATTCTGCTCCGCTTGTTTCTAAAGAGTGGCACATTTGCTAAGTTGTGAAACTACTTTAGTGGCATTAAGCTTGGAGCTGTTGGGCAGGCATTAATGATGTTTGACTGTCATTGAATCTCAATCAATAAATCCACTCATGAAGAAGAAAGGTGGGCGTCGTACCTAGCTATTCAGCAAGTTTTGAAATCTTGCAAGGAAATTCTGCAGCGCGAATTTGAGACAGAATTGTGTTTACATGACTTTTTATTTGCTACTCCGGATGAGGTATGCTCTACATGGTGAAAGGAAGTCACCACATCAAGAAAAGGATTTTTTAAAAATGCTGTCTGCAGAGTAACAGATAAAGCGGTCATGTTCTCCTTATATTGGATCAGTAATGACAAATAAAGCTGATAAAAAAGACATGTTTTGTTCAAAAGTAATTAAGGCAAACGAATGTCCTCTATTAACTATTACAAATACTCAGTACTGATGATCTACTCCAAGGTGCAACTGTCTTCCACTGACCAATCAATACATTGCAAGTCAAGAATTGCACAAATTTATTTATCTGTATAATGAGAATTTTCAGATCCCCAAGGCATAATTCCACCAATATCGATGCTGCACTCGTGAGAGAACAATTTCAACATAAACTAGATTTGTAGCTGATCTTGGTAGAATTGCTGATTGCAAACTTTTGAGCAATGTTTATGGACAAATGTCCATTAAGAACTGGATTGAAGTGGGCTAACTGTATTTTACATTGATGATTGCAGTTGGCAAAGAAAAGGAAAGTCATGTTTTGAATCTAGTCAGAATGTTGGACTTCGGGGCTGAAAGGACCTCCACCTACCCTCATTTCCTTCACCACTGCTACACCGTGCATTTCAGAATCTGTTTTATTTCAGCAAAAAAAAAGTTTTATTTTATAAGAGCTGCAAAATCTTGAACCTAATTGTAACCAAAGTTATAAAAAGTAGCTTCCATCTATAGTCTTAACATCGCAAAACTCCTTTTACTATCACTACCTTTTCACAAATTTTGATGTGGAGCCCTCAGTTGTACATTAAAATCAATGACTCCTGATTTGATATTTGAATGGTTTACTTTTTTTGGATTTACTGTCTAAAGTATACAGTTTAAATAAATTCTGAGATCACAATTGTTTTCAGCTGGCTTTCTTCAAATCATTTAATCTTAGTCTAAATCAATTTAGCATTAAGTTGTAGGCTTTTTATCCCAAATAAGCATGGAATTAAATGTTAAATTTATAAAGCATACACCTAATAATATGGCAGCATGATGGCACTTCCATGATTCTTAGTTCTTTAAGTTCTATCAAGACTCTAGTCGCTACCTAAAGTATAATATTTTTTTAAAAGGCTATGTAAGCAGTTGTAGTTTGATATCATGGTTAACAATTCATTCACACTGCATCAGCTAAGCTGTTGAATAATTGAGATGCCACCAGTAATAGATCATTCAGGGCAGAAGTTCAGTCTTGTTTATGGTCTGACTAGGTTAGTCACAGTCACAATGTAAACTGTTAGTAATGTTCCATTTATGGAGTAAATGGCCACATCCTCCTTGGACTGTCCTTAAGTGGTTGACAGTTGTCCAGATTTTTCTGTGGAAGTTTGAAACTTGAGACTTCACCCTTCGCCCAGTTTGCAGTGGTGATGTTTGCAGTCAACCAGGAGATGTGTTATTGAAAACTGGCGTTGTCATCAGTTTGTATGGTGCGGTGGTTTAGTCGGGGCTTTGGAATTTCAGATGGGTTGTGGGCTTTGTTAAGGTCCTGGGTCAAGATGAGAGTGACTCTCATCCAAAAATTGGCACGTACCACCTACGGCAACAGAATCTGTTGCACTGCTTCTCTCACGTGGGTCTATACAACAGAGCACTGCTGCTCTAACTGGCTAAGGAATTGCCACACAAGTGCAGTAGCTGTCCACCTTTGAGAAGTCATGAGCATTATTTCTGGAGTGTTGAAACCAACACTTGAGCAGCTTCCTGTGTTAGCGCACAATGTTTTCCCTACAGAAATCAGGAGGTTCATTCTCCTTAAAGAAATTATCGCCTGACAGCTAACAAAGCACTTCCACTGACAGGACCTTTGGGCCACATGACCAATATTCATGTATAAACCAAGCCAGTGAGTATTAGCAAGCTCTTTAGAGCAATATGATGCTGGTAATGATCCCTCTCAGCCAGTGGGGTGGCACTTTATCAAGGGCTGACTTGAGCCTAGTTGTAAAGTATATACAGAGACCAATGTACTTTGGAAGGCCTTTTATTTTTCTTGCTGTAATATTTAAATATTCCCATCCCCCCCCAAATTCTTTAAATACATTTTAATCTAATAACCTAATTTGTTCTAAACACCCATTTTCCTGTTATCTTTAATTCTGAGGTATCCAGTATCCTATTGACAAACTCTAGATGCTTTGTTCCTTGGCTATAATTTCTAAGTCTGTTTTTGACAGCACATGCCCCTTTCCAGAATTTGCATAATGCTGGATCCTGTTCTGGTCGCCTCATTACAGGAAAGATGTGGAAGCGTTGGAAAAGGTGCAGAGGAGATTTACCAGAATGTTGCCTGGAATGGAGGGAAGGTCTTACGAGGAAAGATTGAGAGAGCGAGGGCTTTTCTGTTTAGAACGACGAAGGATGAGAGGTGACTTGATAGAGGTGTACAAAATGATCAGAGGTATAGATAGAGGACAGCCAGAGACTTTTTCCTCGGGTGGAGGTAGCTACTACGAGGGGGCACAGTTTTAAAGTGAGTGAAGGTAGGTTCTTTACTCAGAGAGTGGTCAGGGTGTGGAATGCATTGCCGGTGAGGGTAGTGGAGTCGGCCTCATGGGCATTTAAGCGGCTATTAGATGGGCATATGGATAATAGTATAAGGTAGGGGTGGAGGTTAGGTAGACCTTAGGATTAGGGTAAAAGTTTGGCACAACATCGTGAGCCAAAGGGCCTGTACTGTGCTGTACTGTTCTATGTTCTATGGATATATTGCCCAGCTTCGTAGTAATTTCCACTCTGCCGTGACTCAGCACACAGGTTAAATATTTGACTTTTCTGGTCTGTTTGATTCAGTATATTGTGCATTTTACAATTGTATTGTCAATGTTTTGAACGTTGAGGAAGTAGAATATGTAGTGTATTCCAAATTATTTATTTGAACACACAGAATAATCATGATGTAAACAATGGTTTACACACATTGTTTGATCTACAATAGATTATATTCTATGGATGAAACCCATTCAACGATGGTATTAATTAAAAGCAGTCTACACTGCATTTTGAATTTTCCATTAATTGTCCCCAGATATTTATTCATATATATGAAAGGTAAAGTCACCATATTCCTACAGACTGTAGGGCTGCTCTCATTAGAGAGAGAGGACTGGTGGTGGGCTAGGGGAGAGGTTGAGAGGAGAATCCCCTCTCCGTGCGTTGTCATTACTCTGCATTGCAAATTAGCCGTCCAGCCAACTGAGCTAACCACCTTATCCCTAAGGTATGATTCTATTAATGTGAATTCTTCCATTCATCTGTTACTCAATCTCATATTCATTCTGGTGTCTTCTTTCTTATTTGTGATACCAATATGAAAATTTCTCATTTTACAGCTTCATTCCTGGCATCTAGGAGCTGGCAAGGCCTGCAGCAGCAACTAGGGAAGACGTCTGTGTCAAAAGCAGCAGTAGGTCAGAAAGGAATTGCAATTGCCTATGAAGGAGAAGCCACAAGTTGAAGGAACTGGAATTGGAAGTCAATTGTGTGAGCAAATGTGTTGAAATCAAAATTTCAGGATAATAGGCTAATAAGATTTATTAAAGATTTTTTTTTTTTTAAAATGACTTTATTTTTAAAGTGTTTATCACTGTCCTGACATTCTAGGTTTCACATTTTGTTTCTTTATGTAAAGTAATTTCTTTCTGCTGGCTATCTGGTAACTTGAGTACAGCTGGTCAAGTACATCATTGTTTTGTACTTTGCCAAGCTTGTGCACCATGAGAAAGATCAGTATTTTCTGAATTCACAATTGTTCTGATTGCAAGACATTGTAGTTTTCATAATGAAAACTACATTTACTTAAGTATTTAAAAGTGATAAAGCTGACTAAGGAATTCATTAATGTTCTACTTTAACATGGACAAAAATGTACAGCTGTAGTATCAAGGAAACTATTATTGTTATATCACTCGTCAAAGGGAAACAGCATTCTGGAAAGGTTGAAAGAGGATATGGTTATCCAGAAACAGACCATATTGGATCTTGTTATGCCCAGTAAAGCCATGTCACCTGCAACTAATTTATATTTTTAAAAACGCGACGCAGACAGGAATGGATGGTTGCCTAAGGTCACCTGACTTCTTTTGTGGGTTAAAAATTACTCCCCTGTCTTGCAAGAATGAAAGAACATTCCAAACTGATAAGTCAATGCCTTATAAGTCAGTCAGGGTGAATGTCTGCACAAAAATGCAAACCAGATTGTGAATTGGTGTGAGTCCATCATTCTGTTTTGGAAAAGGACTTGAACTTGTGGAAAGCCATGTGTTGAGAGAGCCAGGTTTTTGTCTGCTTTTGAAAAAAAAAACAGCCAAGAACTGTTTGCACTTGTACCCAGTTGGTCAGAAAAGCAGACCACAACTAGTTATAAGTCATCGTGCAGCACCAAGGTAGTTAACAGTAGTACCCTCCAGGTGGGAGATCTAAACAGAAAGAAGGAAACCTCCTCCCCAGGAAATACCTGATCCAAATTTAGGTTTGCCTGATAATCAACCTTTCAGAAACTCAACTACAAGCAACTGATCTCTCAACTTGCTGTGAGCTCTTCACTTTACAGTGCCTTCACTTCAAGCTTAAAACAGAAGGATGGGATGCAGGAGGATAAATGAGCCATTCAGCCCATGGAGTCTGCCATTCAATACAATCATACCTGATCTGATAATCCTCAACCCCACTTTCCTGCCTTTTCCCCATAACCCTGAATTCCCTTACTGAATAAAAGTCTGTCTATCTCAGCCTTGAATATATTTAATGACCCAGCCTTGACAGTCTTTTGCAGTAAAGAATTCCAAACCTTCAAAGAAGAAATTCCTCTTCTGTCTTAAGTGGGCGACCCCTTTCTCTGATTTTTATGACCTCTGATCCTAATCTCTCCCACATGGGCAAACCTTTCCATGTCTATTCTGCCAAGATTCTTAACAATCTCGTATGTTTCAATAATGTCTCATCTTGTTCTTATGAATTTCAATGAGTACAATCCCAACCTACTCAACTTCTCGTAAAAAAAACTCTTCATATCTGGTCATTTTACTTTGTGGATTGCATCCAATACCAGTAAATATTTCCTTAAATAAGGGACACAAAACTGCACAGTATTCCAGATGTAGTCTGACGAATGTCTTGTGTATATTTAGCAAGATCTTTTTATTTTTATAGTCCACTCCCTTTGAAATAAAGGCCAACATTTCATTTATCTTTGTGATTACTCATTGAACATGACTGCCAGCTTTTTGTAATTTACAAGTACATATTCATATAACATCTTTGATTAAGAGGAATTGCCAAATGGAATACTCAAACTTCACCCCTCCAAAGCCAGTTGGATTCGGAAATAATGGCAATAAGTGGCTGGAGAATGATCGATCCTGGAAAGTCCATCAGAGTTACCACTTGAAGGCATCAGTACATGTGACCCTGCCATAACTTTGAGTCCATAGATTTAAAATGCTGTCTCCCTTTTATTCATTAATTGCCCAAAAGGCAGTTAAGATTCAATTACATTGTTGTGGTCTGAAGTCACATGTAATCCAGACCAGATAAAGATGGAAGATTTCCGTTCCTGAATGACATTAGTGAGCCAGGTGAGTTTTATGAAAAATGATTCTCACTATTACGGTAGCTTTTTATTCTAAACTTTTTTATATTAAGTTCAAATTCCACATCTGCCATGGTGGGATTCCCCAGCACATCAATGTGGAGCTCTGAATTACTAGTCCAATGATATTGCCACCATGCCACCGCCCCATGCTTCTTTATGTCCTAGTAGTATACATTTCAACATTCTCAAGTCAAGTTTGTAATACATCCCAAAACTGCTCAACATTTGATTCTAATTGACACAATGTTAGTAATCTTCAGTTTGCTGAGGCGGTAAGTAGAAATATTATATTTGTGCAATATAATTGATTTCCTGAGAGTAGGTTAAGGTTGATATTAAGTAGAGGGAGCACAAAACAAGAAGAAAAACAAATACTGCAGGTGCTGGAAATCTGAACAAAAAGCAGAAAGTGCTGGAGAAACCCAGCAGGTTTGGCAGCATCTGTGGAGAGAGAAACAGAGTTAACATTTTAATTCCAATATGACTTATTCATGACTCTACTTCTTTGGTGTTCTTCAGAACAGTCATATTAAACTCCAAAATTTAAGTGTTCCTCTGTCCACAGATGCTGCTAGACTTCTTGAATTACTCCAGCACGGTCTGTTAAACTGTAAATATTCTCTCAACTTTGTTTCTGCATTCTTAACTTCTAATTCACAAAACATTTTGACCATTCTTCTCAAAGTGAGCCCAGTGGGATGATTTAAAAACAGATTACAAATTATTACAAAACAAATTGTATACTTTATAACATCTGTGAAAACCTAACTGAATGTGCAGCTCTCATTTATTGAAACATTTCCAAGTTGTTTGTCTACTTCACTACAGTAAAGGTAATAGTTTTTGCTTAAACTGGAGCTATTATTTCTCAAATTTAATTTGTCACCTTGTCCATCTGCCACA